CACCACCACGTTTGTTCCTGGACAGCCAGTTGTGACAGTCGTGTTTAATATTCTGCTTCGCCACTGGTTATGTGCATTATGGGCATGTTCACATGTGAGCATTCTCAGAATATTAATTAATGATCTCAAATGGTCTTTAAAAATAGTGTAACCTAATTAATTTATTCTGTTAAACTACTGTCAAAGCTTGACCAATTACTAGTTTGTATTAGTTTGTTTGATTTTAGCCTCTCCTAAGTTTGTAACTATTAATAATTAATTATCTCCTTAAGCTGTTGTTCAGAGTTTAAAAGTATTCAAAACCTTATTAACATGATGACTAACGTGTTGTCACTCTGACACTAAAATCTTGAGCACTTGGTGAAGCTGTCCGGATCTCACACAGACACATCAGGTTCACATCTGAAAGTACTGGCTCCCTTCCCCATCACGGGGGCCGTTTTGGTGTGGCTGTCAGTGGGTGGCCGGGTGCCTGTGGCTGCTCTAGAACCTGCCTGTTACCCAGGTGCCTGGAGCCCGCCCGGCAGCTCGAGCTGTTGGGACTTGGCAGTCCCCGCCCGCCCCTGTGCTGGTGCTGAGAGCTCGCGACAGTGGCCAGGCACTGCCCTCCCAGTTGTCCAGATCCACTAATCCTCACAGACAGGTCAGCGGCCCGACCTGTCCCCCACCACTCTTGGGAGGCAGCCACCTCGGGAAAGCCTTTCCCCAGCCCCCTTCTTGGTGGCTGCTGAAGAGGCTTGTAGGGTGCTGGACATACTGCTTGAAGCACCCCTCATGATGACAGGAAAGAAAGTCTCTTCATTTTACAGGGTTCTGTAGCTGACCCAGTGTTTTGCCCTCTGGTTTCTTGGAGTTTCCACATGCACATTGACCCCTGGGCCTCTCGAGTGCCAACCTAGATTTAGCTGTGCAGCTGGTACTGTTAGGCCTGAGGCCGTTTGAAGCTGGCATCATTTGAAGTCCTGGTTAAGTGTAATTTTTCTATTTGTTTTTTCATGCAGGAACGAAATAATTGTCTGGCCGACTCGCGAGCTCTGAGTGCCAGCCACACTGACCTGGCCCACTGAGGGCCGGCAGGGCTAGGTAACCTGCCTTGGGAGTGTGAGACTGCCCTGCCCTGCCACGCCCCTCACCGCCCTGCCCGGAGGTGCCAGCCGCACTCCTTGGCTTCCTTTCTAGATAGTGACGTCCACCAACCTTGGAGGTGCCTTTTCAAAACACCCGGGCGACCTTGCCCCAGCATTCTGTCCCCCGGCCTGCAGTCTCAGTGCCAGGAGCTGCCTCGACCGCGACCCGGCCAGGCTGGCGCACGGAGGCCGAGGCGAGGCCGAGGCGGCTTCAGCACGCGGGGGGTTGGCTCCTGCTCACGGATGCTGTCGCACTTCCCGCCTGCCAGCTTTTTGCCATGACACCAAACTCTCTTCTAAATTATAATGTTGTAATAAGGCTGTAAACTAAGAACCTGGAAACAGGAAGTACCCTTTCAGAACGGTAGGCATTTAGTGATCTGCGGCAGTAAAGCCTGAAGCGTGCGGACCTCCTGGTCAGTGGGAGCGAATCCCCTCCCAGCAGGAGCGTCTTCTGGGTCTCTGTTTCCGAGGTCCCCGGGCGTGGTCCTGGGCGCCTGTGGGGCCTGGGCCCCGTGCCCACCCCTTTTGAGCAGTGTTCTCTCCTGGAGGCCCCGCACACGAAGCCCATAGAGACGTGCGTTTCACTTTTTAAAAGCTTAAGCTTTATAGAATGAGGGAGCACAGTGGACTCTGACAGGAACCTTTTCAAATCAGTGCTGAGGCTGTATTTCTTAGCTGTCCACAGACTAGCCCATAGGTAAAGAGCCTACAAAACAGATGCCGAGGTAAGCAGTGATTCCAAAGACTGGCGCTCAGAAGCGCCACCTCCATGCCAGCCAGCCAGGCTACGGAACGGAGGGGCGGTCTGAAACGCTGACCATCCCGTGAAAGGTCAGCTTGCCGCTGTCATGTAACAGGGCAGGTGATGGCACAGCAGAGGCTCACACTTGTCGCCTTCAGTCCCTGGAAGCTCCCCGTGGGGCACGGGGCCCAAGGCTGGGGACAGAGCATCCTGGGGTTTTGATATAAGGCTAGGCTTTAAAATACCTTTAAAAGTTTCATTTCATTTCATCCCGTCTCATGTCGCAGGACTGCTGTGTTTGTGAAAACGTATTTGTTTCCATAAGACAAGCTCCATGTAGTCGTCAGCGAGTGCCTGGCACAGGCGCTGCCCTATGGAGCCAGTGTTGTCCCCAGCGGCTCACCTGTGGCCGTGGCTCCTTTTCTGAGGCTCCTGACTCCATTTTTGCAGATTCTGATGGGTCAGCTTACTTTCTAAATGCTACATAGAGGTGTTAAAGGAAATTTGATAGGTTCTGTAATAGTGGATAGGATTAAAAGAAAAAATGTTATATATAGGGTGCGGTGGTTCATGCCTGTAATCCTATAATCTTAGCACTTGGGGAGGTTGAGGCGGGAGGATCACTTGAGCCCAGGAGGTCAAGAACAGCTTGGGCAACACAGCGAGTCCCTGTGTCTACCAAAAAAAACCCCCATAAATATATAAAATTTGATGGGTTGTGAGAAGCCACCCCCTCAAAAAAGGGGGGTGTAGAGCAGCTTCCTTTGACAGGTGCCGTGGCTGCCCCCGTAGTGGGCTATGTCTGTGCACAGGCGACGGGCAGGAGGGCTCTGGAGCTTCCCTTGTGGTGGGGGGTGCCTTCTCCCTGTGAGGATGCTGAGCAGAGTTTGGAACCCAGACAGTTTCCCTTAGTGACAGTTCTCTGGAAAGGAGAAAGGGCATTTAGAAGAAATAAACACAAGGCTGAATATGGAGTTGAATTTTAACCTCTTCAGACTGATGGGTGCAGACGAGGTTGTGTGGGGCCTCTGTGGAGCCTGCTGTGGCGTCCAGCCATGGGACCTTAGGGCCGACGTGGCCTCTGCAGCACTGTGGCTGTGGGAGCACTGTGTGTTGGGATAAGAGAAGCCAGAAGGCCTCCTTGAAGCCAGCTCGTAAAGGAAGGTTCATGTTTCAGAGAGGGAAGTGGCAAGGGAATCTGAGTATCTGAGTCCCTGATGTTTGAACCCCCCCCCACCCAATAGAAGTGCAGTGATTTAAGCCATTTCCCATCTGGCGGTCTGAATTTTTCCCTTCAGAGCAGAGAAATGGTAGGCCCAGCCATCCCTCCTCCTGTGTTCTCTTTCTGGTGAGGGGACCCCCACGTGAGAGTCAGCACCTGTTTCTTCAGAGTTGCTGTCAAAATACTCACTGCGCCACCCACCCCCCTCCGGCAGCCATGTGTGCAGCGCCCAGTCCCAGCCACCATGGCATGGGAGCGTCTGGATCTGCGGGTGGACAGCCTGTCTCTGGGTAGTTGGTGCAGCTGTGGCAGAAACCAGGCCCTGGGGAGTCCTGTGACATGACTGCTTCCCTGAAGCAGCAGCAGTGTGCGGCTCAGGGGTCCTCGGAGGCTGGTGGTGCCCACGGGTGGCACAGGGTCCCTCTCATGGGCAGCACTTGGTCTTGTGTTTACAGTACTGGAGGAATTCACATCGTTATTTTCTGGATTAAGCTGCTAGAAATATCACGTAATTAGAAATTCAGTGTTTATAGTAAGATGTATTAAACATTGCTAAAAATGTACGGCTACAATCTATAACAGGTTTTCCATTGTCATAACTGTATGGAATTTTCTTGGAGGATGTCATTAGCTTCTGTTTGCACTGACTTGTGAGCTGTGTGTACACTGCGGTCAGATTTCTGAATACTGTAGAGCACTCACCAGCTCTGACCATGTCTTGCTAGGGCCGGCCGGCTGCATGTGCAGCGGGGCCAGCTGTCTTAGGGCTGATATGTAGACGTGTATTCTGTTTACAATTAGTTCCCCAACGTTGTGGGGAAGAACTTAAGTGGTTTTAAAGTGTTTTATGATATGGTGAGGCAGTGAGGGTCAGGGCACATGGTCCTTGAGGAAGGGTCTTCGGGACAAGAGGGACTGTGCTTCCCAGGGTGTGGTGCCTCCCTAAGGGGATGGTCAGTGCTCCTGGGTCAGTGCTGGCCAAGCCAGCCCTTCTGCAGACTGCTGTGGTGGGAGTTCCCTGGGACAGGAAGCCCCTCGGCCCCTTCCCTCCAGGGCAGGAACTGAGCCAGCATGGGCGGGGCCGGCCGAGCTTCCAGGCGTGTTTTCTGTTAAATGTACCTCTGTCTTTAAGCTGTCTCATTTTCTAATCGCCGGCATGTCTTGCCTAGAAAAGCATTTGGAATTGCTTATGTTCAATTACAGAAATAAAATGTTTTATTTGCTGTTGTAGAATCCCTGCACTTTTGCAGAAAGGCTGTTTTGTAAAAATCCAACCCCAAAATAATTTTTTTCTCTGTTCATGCCAGTGGTTCTTAACTTTAGGGTCAGAGAACCTTGATAACGTGAAGGTTTTCAACGGATTGTCCCACCCTAGAAAATGGCAAACAGAAAAATTCTGCACAGTATGACCCTACCCCTTACCTTTCCCCCAACCAGTGCCAGCCCCCCCCCCCACTGTAGGAGCACCCACAGGCTCACCCTGGGCACATGGGGTGGGGGTGACAATTTCTGCCTCTGGGTTGTGGGAGGAGTCAAGCCACTTAGCAGTTCTGGGCCTCAATCCCCTACCTGCAAGTGGAGATGTAGTGACAGTACCTATCCCCAGGAGTTGTGAGGAGAACGCACTTCAATGTGCATCAATTACTTAGAGCAGTGCCTGGCAGACAGCAAGAAGCAGGTCCTGGAACTGCATCCATTTAACATTTATTTGTCAAAGGCATGGTCGGTGCCAGGCAGCACGTGGAGGCACTGGGTGGGTGGGAATCAAGGGGGTCACCACTCTGCCCATGGGGAGGCCACGCCACTGACCGCTGGGTGGATATTTCAGCATCTGCAGCCAGCTGTGTTCCCGAGAGGCTCTGCTTTCTGGCCAGATGTAAGGCCTGGCCACAGTGTGGGACTGGGTCTGCAGGTGGCCCTGCCCGGAGTCCTGCCATATCCCCACCAGAGTGCCGCCCAGCCACACCAGGGCTGAGCTGGACGCCCAGACCCCTGGGGCCAGGATACACTGGGACCCTCCTTTCTCTCAACCTTGGATCCTCTTTCACCAGAACTGTGTTCCCAGGTGACTGACGAGCCTGTCACGCTCTCCTCTGTCTAGCTGTGGTACTGGCACAGGCCACACTACTAGAGTCAAGGCAGCCCCCCCCAACCCCAGGCTCTCCTGGACCCAGAAGCTGGAGGTTGGTGGGATATGCTTTCTCCACCTTGTACCACATTGAAGTTTTGTGGGGCACAGTGTGTGCCGGGGTGGGGCCCCCGGGATCCAAGGACCCAGAGGTGGGTGAGGAGGAGCTGCCTGCCTGCAGCCCCGCTGTGGCCTGAGGGGTTGGGGGAGTAAAGACAGCCCTGTGTGTAGGAGGGGAGACCTTTGTGGGCAGGGACCCAAGGCTGAGGGGGCCTGAGGCCTAAGACGCGACCCCAGGTGGGCTTCCATGTGGACAGCAGAAGCAGGGGACTCCCAGGGAGTCACTGTAGGGACACCCCCAGGCCCCAGCCCTGAGAATCATCTGTCCCCAAGGACCAGCTCAGCGGTGGGGACCAGGTGCCCAGCAAGCCGGGCCTGTCCCCAGACCCAGGGAGAGGTGGAACAACTCCCCCAGCTCAGGTGGGGACTGTGGCCACCACCTTTGGCTGAGAAAGTGGAACCGCTGCCCTGGAAGAGCTCTGTCCGAACCAGGCTCCCAGCTGTGCCACGGCCGAGGCAGACAGCGTTTTAAAGGCGCAAGCCCTGTGTGTCGGGGCTTCTCAGGCAAGGCTGTTCTGCAGCTGCCACCGTGTCAATGGGACTGCGTCCCAGGTGTCCCTCGCACCCCTTCTGCACTGATCGTGTAAGAACAGGAGGAGGGGGGCAGGTGGGGGGCAAAGAGCACCCGCAGGGTCCGGGCTGGGCTGCCGAGGGCAGCCTCTTCCTCGCGGAGCCGCTCAGCCAGCAGTCTCACCAGGAGCTGGTTAGCCCAGGTTATGCCAAGGGCTGGGGAAACACGCTCGCCCCAGAACCTGAGGAACAGGAAGCAGCGAGCTGTGCTCAGAAGGCTTGGTGGCCCCCGCCCACTTCAGCCCAGCTGTGCCCCGGCACCTGCATAGAGGTGCACGCACCGCATGGCCGCACTCACCCCAGCGGCCCGTGTGCTGCGCCCTCCTCCTCCATGGCCTCTGTCACCTGGAAGAGCACAGTCCAGGTCAGCTGCAACGGCCGCGGGTCTTCCCGATGGGCAGGCACAGGCTCCTACCCGCAGGGACCGGGGGCCCCCGCACTGCCACCCGCCCCACCTCCAGACTGGCTCTGCTCTCGCATCCTGGCTAAAAGTACGAGCTCACGGGTGCACCCCTGCCTTGGTGCCCACCTGGTTGATGCACAGCACAGGGCTCTGGAAGGCACTGCTCAGCTCACGCAGCGCGGCCCCCAGGGACTGCAGACGCCTGGCCCTGGGGGCGGAGGCCTGGCTGTCAAATTCACAGCGGAATGGGGCCGCCACCGAGTCGATGACCACCAGGCGAGCCATGCCCCGAGACAGCAGAACGGGGACCTTCTTATTCACACATTCCAGCAAGGCGTCCTGTGGGAACAGGGCCATGGTGTATGCTGGCCAGCAGGCCCCCGCCCCTGGTGACCAGACCCCGTTTGGAGTGTCACTCAACCGTCTGACTCAAAACCTTCCTCCCCACCTGGGACTGACAGTGCTGGCTCTACAGTCCCCAAACTCTGAGCCCAATTCTGTATTCTTCCCAAAAAGTCTCCAACTATAGAAGCTTCAGGCTCACACAACTGGTTCCCTGGACTCCATGTCCTTCCTCTGGCCCTCCCAGGCAGTCACCCCTTGGCCATGCCAACACCATCCTCTGCAGAGGCGTCCTTTGCCCAGGCTCCTGAGTCCTTGTGGGGGTCTGCTCTCCCTTCTGCCATGGTTTCACCCTCTCCCCGACAGGTCAGCAGCAACCAGCCCTCTTCTTCAGTGGCCCCATGCCAGGTGCTCAGACCACCCAGACCTGGCCACAGTGCCACCAAATCTAGCCCGTGGTGGCCATGACCACCTGGGCCACACCCTCTTTGGACGCTCAGCAAGGCAGGGGCCTAATGCCCTTCAGGCGTTACTCAGGCGAGTCAGGCCTGGCCTGCCTCTGCCAAGGCGTGGGACACTCTGGGAGACCATCTGGGGGTCAGGATGGGGCTGTAGGTGGAGACACCCTTAAGGCCAGTGCCTCCCGTGCACCCAGGCCTTAGCCCTGTGCTCTGAGCTGGCCTGGCCAAGGGGTGGAAACGGCCCTGTGCCCACCGGCTCCCAGGAGAGCTGCCAGGGGAGGGCCCCCCAGGGAAGGCAGGTGTCCTCGGCTTCCCTCTGGGTGCCGCTGTGGCCTGTGGGTGCCACGGCCATTGACATGGCTGGCCTGGTTTCTGACCGCAGAGGTTGGTGAGCTGTGGTGATGGGGGAGGGTGGCACAACTGCTCCTGGCACCAAGCAGGGTAGTTCAGGTCCCATGGGCCTTGCCAGCAGCTCTGGCCAGAGCTGCCCCTAGGCTGTCCCTCAGATCCAAGGTCTGCAGCCTCACACTGGTGTCACGCCTGGACCTCTGAAGACGCCCTGCACGCCCTGAGTGAAACTCGTCTGTGCTTCGTCTCCAGGGCGTCTCTGGCCGAGCCTCTTTTTGTGGAAAACGACAGCAGCAGCAGTGGCTTGGAAGACGCCACCGCTAACGTGAGTTCCACGGCCTGCAGCCCCAGGAAGCAGGCAGCTGGGCCAGGGAGGGACTTCGCATGTGCAGGGACTGGGGGGACTGGGGATGGGCAAGTGGTGACTGCTGCTAGCTGCCCAGCTGGGCCTCCAAGAGGGGCTTGGCTCAGAGAGCCCCACCCTCATGCAAGCCCAAGGCCCACAGAGTAGTCGGGTGGGAACGGCACCAGGCTCTGCTTATGCAAGAGAAGGCTGTGTCCACACGCCTGGCCTTCCCCGTGCCAGATGCAGGCCTTTGTTGCTCTAGAGAGCAGAGACCAAAGATGCACTGGTCCCCCATGACCCCTCGGCCCCAGGGAGGCTCAAAACCAGCAACACTCTCTTCTCTAGGCAGACTTGGGGTGGGGGCTCCCCAGAGAGCTGTTTTCAGAACAGAACTTAGTAACACTATCAGGTTTTGGCGGCCCAGCCCTGACCTTCTGTCTTCTCTTGCAGTGACCCCGACCTGGCGCCGCTCCAGGATGGGACTGCCGAGTGTGGCCCGGAGCTGGCCCGGGACAGCCAGGGCAGCAGGGAGGGCCCCTGGCTGGGAGCCGCAGCGCTCACTCATTTTTCCTGCGTCTGTGTGCGTGGGGCACGATACTAATGACCACACGGCTGGTGTGACCTTGGGACTGGGGCTGAGGCTGGGCCTAAGCTGGTGCCCTGGTGCGGCGTGGCCTCTCCCAGGAGACCTGGGGCATGAGCTGGGCCCACGGCTCCCTTCCCATGTGTAACTTCCTCATGTTGTGTGCGATAATGTATTTTATTGTACATTTTTTTAAATTAAACGTTTATATGCCTTATGCTTTACTTCAAAGTTTTTTCTATAAGAACTCAGAAATGGGGGAAGGCCAGACGGGCGCAGTGGCTCACGCCTGTAATCCCAGCACTTTGGGAGGCTGAGATGGGCGGATCACGAGGTCAGATCGAGACCATCCTGGCTAACATGGTGAAACCCCATCTCTACTATAGATACAAAAAATGAGCCGGGCGTGGTGGCGGGCGCCTGTAGTCCCAGCTGCTTGGGAGGCTGAGGCAGGAGAATGGCGTGAACCCGGGAGGCAGAGCTTGAAGTGAGCCAAGGTCGCGCCACTGCACTCCCACCTGGGCGACACAGCGAGACTCCATCTCAAAAAAACAATAATAATAAAAAGAAGTGGGGGAAGGCCCACCGGCTCTGCCAGACCACAGCCACGTCTAGGGTGGGCTGGACATGGCAGCCACTCCCCCTGCACAGGGCGGAATTTCCTTATTTGCCTTTGGTCAGGGGTTTACTCCCAAACTTCCCATCTTTTCTTCTGCATCTTTTCTACTTCATCACTTCTCCCTCCTGGGATGATCTCTGTAAACTAAGTGCTGACAGCTCACAGCACTGCTACCCCAGCTGCAGGGATGCGTCCCAGCCTCTTATGCCTGCTTCCTGGCTGCAGGACGGACTCCACTGGACCCCGTGAGTGGCCCCTGCTCTCTGGAAGGCCCTGCCATGGGTCCCTCCTCCAAGCCCAGCCAGTGTCTGCAGGGAAGCCAGCAGCCAGGCAGTGGTCAAGGATCTAAGGTCGCCTGTGTGAGCTGGAGGCCCGGCAGGCCTTGGCCAGGTGGAGCCCCTGTGCCTCCAGTGAGGGCCGTCTTCCCCTCAGAGGCAAGGGTGAAACCAATACAGCTCTCACCAGGGCAGCAGCCTGGAGAGCAGGTCCCACCCTTCTCAGGGCGGTGGTCTCCTAGGGCAGCCGGTCAGGGCTCCACAGCCCAGAGGAGGCCCTTGCCACCCGCCTGGGACTTCTCTTCCCCACTCCGTCTTCATGGGCAGGGTTGACAGATGGTGTACAGGCGCCCAGTTACATCTGAGTTTCAGATCATAAAGAAAGTTGATCTGAATATGGGCATCCTCATTCTAGAACACGCTTCAAAGCTGCCTAAGATTCAGACGTAACTGGATGTCGCAGCCTGCCGCCTTGCCTGCCTGGCCTACAGCCACTCCTGGCCAGGATTTTGTTTGGCCAAACTGCCGTTAGGCTCCTAAGCCTCCTCCTAGGCCCATCTGTGCATGTCCTCGTGAAACCCAGTTTTGGCAATCCCTGCTGAGACGGTAGCAGGACCCCTGCCCTCCACATCCAGTCGCCCTCAGTAGCTGACTGGTCCATCCTCCACCGTCGCCAGGGGCAGTCTGATCCCCATGGCCCACCTTCAGCAAGGGTCCTGGCAAGACGCTTCAGCCAGAACCCCCTCCCCTGCCAGTTCCTCTCAGTCACTCTCCATCCTCTGACCCACCTGCTCCTCGGGTGTAAACCCCCATGACCCATGCTGAGTTCAGAGCTGAAACCATCTCTCCCTGCCCCGCTGTGAGACCTCACTGCCGTGGTGGTTACCTGCCCCGCTGTCAGGCCTCACTGCCGTGGTGGTTACCTGCCCCAGTGGTCCTGAACAGCTTGCCTCGGGTGTCACGCGGCTTCTCCCACACTCACCACATCGGCCACATGCTCGATGAAGATCTGGCTGCCAAATCGGAGCTTCTGAAGCAGCTCTCCAGGAACGTCGGTGCGCAGCCGCGGCTGCTGGGCCATGAGCTGCTGCAGGCGCTTGTGTGGGAAGGCGTCTTCCGTGCAGATGTAGACGGCTCCTGGGAAGCGAGAGTGCCTGATGTGCCCAGGGGACTCCAGACGGGCCTGTGACTGCCACACAAATCAAGCGCAGACGTCTCCCACCATTTCTAACTCTGCCCCTCGCAGGTTCTTTGTCCCTGGCCCGGGGAGGGAAGAGGCTGCTGTTGGTTCTCACCCTCCCACTGGCGGCCACCTCAGGACCAGGTGACCCCTCAGGAGGAATACGGGCTGGGCCTCCACTTCCGACACCCAGGCAAGGACTTCCCCTGTCCTGGGCCCTGGGCTGGAATGGCCACAGATGGGAGGCCTCTCCTGCCCCACCCCGCCCCTCCTTCCCCCCGTGCCCCTCCGTCCCCCCTCTGCGGGGCAGGAAGCAAGTGGCAGCATCAGGGCAATGCCTTCTGGAAATGGCCCCGAGCCCCGACACATGGCCACACTCAAGGCCCCCACTGAGCAAGTGTTTCCTCTCCCACTTTCAAAACTTCTGCAATTCAAACAGCCGGCTTGAAAAGACACGTGTTGGCGAGGATGTGGAGAAGGCGGACCCGACCCCTGTGCGCTGCTGCTAGGAATGCAAAGTGGTGCAGCTCGGAAAACATCCGGCACTTCCTCAAAAAGTTACACACGGAAAACAACCGGCACTTCCTCAAAAAGTTACACACGGAAAACAACCGGCACTTCCTTCAAGAGTTACACACAAACCACATGGCCCAGCGGCCACACTCCCAGGTAAGACACCCAGGAACCCCCGCCCCATTCTGTGTCAGAACTAAGCTTCTGAGAGGCATCTGGCCCACTTGGGGCCAGGGAGGTACAAATACTGCCTTGGGAGGCCACGTCTCTTGTGGCTGGTTCCCTTCCCCACCAGTGTCCCTAGTCGTGGCTGTGCCCCTAGTCAGGAGGCCACAGGAAGGTCGGGGCCCTGCGGTTCCTCCATCCTGTTGGCTGGAGAGAGGCTGGGCTGGAAGGCTCGGAAGCAGGTGGAGCCGGCCAGGCAGCCTGTTTTTGTTGGGGTCATGTATTGGGGGCTGCACAGCCATGGGGACATTGTGAAGCTGGCAGGAGGGTCGCTGTGGGCAGCCCAGCAGTGGGCAGGGCCCCAGCAGGCCTGGGAGAGCCTCATGCAGCTTAAGCACAGGACTCAGAATCACTCCACAGCCTGCCTGCCACTTTCTTTTCAAAATTAGGGTCTTCAGATTGGATCTAGGAAAAGAAGTCATTTCCCCAGAAAAGCACATCTGAGCCCTGACTTTGCACATGGTCACGGCGGCTGCGGGGCCTCCTCCCTGCCCCCGGCCTGCAAGGCTGGACTGTGCTCTCTTCCCACAGCAGTCCCTGGGCTGGGCACTGCCGGGGGATTCGGGGAGGGTGTCCTAAGGCTTCCGTGTCCCTGGGTAGCGGGGAGTGTGGGCTTCACTGAAAAGGCCAACGGGGTGGAAGCTCAGGAGGAGTCACTGCACAAATCAGATTTGCATGAAGCCTGGCACGGAGGATGCTGGAGAATGAGGGCGTTTCCTGTCCTGTTCTGAGCACGCTCGAGTCCCACCTCCACCTCACAGCAGCTCTTCCACGGGGTAAGCGGGAGACTCCCATTTTCAAGGCCAACTCCTATCCTCCTGGCTTGTGGCTGTCTCCAGGCTCACCCCTGAGACCAGCTGCAGGGACTCAGGCACCTGACAGGAGGGTGTCCTCCCCTGGACTGCAGGGACAAAAACGCCTGTGGTATGAGCAGACCCCAGCCGGGCTCTCGGAGACCCCTCACCCTCCACCCAGCACGGAGGCTCAGGCAGGCACAGCACACCCTTGGTCCCGGGGATGACGCCGACCTGAGGGTGGCAGAGGTGAGGTTCCCAGCCACACCGCCGCTGGCAGGTCAGGCCTGTGAGGAGGTGGCTGGCGCAGCCTGTGGGTCCAGGGCCTGGGGTCCCGCCCTGTGTGGGAAGTGAGCCTAGCAGGTGCCCTCCAAGGCGCCACCAATGAAAAACGCTGCCACTCTGTGTTCACGTGGAGTTTAAGACAGTGTGGGAATTGCACGTTGACACCAGGGAACTGGGTTAAAAGTTAAGGAGCTACTAAGAAACATCTCTCGTACTCACAGCTCAGTTTAAAACGGCATGAGCTTTTAACACCTGAGAGACCCAAGCAGGCATGCTCTGAATGCTTCAGCAATGCAGGGAACCCTTGTTTCACAGACAGAGCTATACAGGCTCACGGGGACGCGCCAGGAGCATACCTGGCCTGGCGGCGGGGCACCCAGGAGAAAGGCCGTGCTGCCCTCCCTGTGCCGCTGGCTCTGTGGACTCCGGGCTTGGCAGCTGTGTGGAACCTGGGCCGGCATCGCTGTGCTCAGCCAGCGACCCCTGGGGGCCTAGCTCTGCTCAGGGCAGGATGCAGGGCAGGCTGCCTGGTGGTGGGGTTTGTACCCTCCCACCCCTCCTGCTGTCAGCTGAGCCCAGCCTCACTTCCCCTCCCTGTTCTGGAAGGAGCGAGGGCAGTCAGGACCAGAAGGAGGGAGACACAATGGTAGGAACGGCGCGAGAGGCGGCCACTCCCCCACCTCAACGGAAAGCTGTCCCAAACAGCAGGGGCCACCCACCTGCCCAGACCCCGTGGAAGGGATGGCCACTCACCAGCCTCCAGGCCTCCGTGCTGCCGCGGAAACTGCACAGCCAGGCAGAGCTGCAGCGCCAGCTGGGTCTTCCCCACCGAGCTGCGTCCGGCCAGCTCGGTGATGCCATCCAGGGGCAGGCCACCGCAGAGGAGCGAGTCCAGCACCGGGCAGCCGAGGCTCAGGCGCTGGTGCTGGGCCGGGAACCGCTCCTTCTGCTGGTGCAGGTGCAGTGCTGCAGGGCAGGGATGGTGTCAGGCCCGGCTCTCCTGGGCCTGCGGGCAGAGCTGGGGACTGTGGGAGGCACGGCCAGCCTGCCTATGCCAGGCGCAGTGTGGCTGGAGCAATGGTGCCTGTGGTCACCAGGGGTGAGCAAGGTGCTGAGGGCAGGGAGGGGTGACCCGGCCAGAAAGGGCGGGTTCACCTGAGACGCAGAGTCAGGGGGAGCCCCAGGGCCACCATCACATGCCCCCAGGGATCCCCCTATGGGGCGACTGCGGCACCAGAAGCCAAAGCTTCCAGAGAGCCCCCAGGTGCTCCCTAACAGCCTCCGTGTGCAGAAAAAGGCACAGCTCCGTCCAGCTGGGATGCCCTGGGTACTGAACAGTTCTGAAGCAGCTTTAATGGGCTCCCACACGCGCACACACGTGCACGCCCCATGCTGTCAGTGCTCTGTGACGGACACCATTCTAGAGCAATGCTGGTCACAGCCTCTTGGCTAAAGGGCCTTGGATGAGCCATTCGACACAGCCTTCTCCACGACACCGAAGCCCCTCAGGGGGAGGCTCAAGGTGGGACACGCAGTGCAGGCTGCGCTCTTGGCCTGGGGCCTGGGCCGGCAGGAGCAGCCTGTCCCTCGAGTCTGCACACTGCCTTGGGCATCCCAGTCAGGTGGAGCAGGCCACCCTGTGAGGACTGCCCAGAGCTCTGCCCACGGCACTGTGTGTGCGGCCGTGGCACCTGCCCACCACGGCAGCCCCAAGTTCAGCATGCTCCTCGGGGCCCGCGTCACTGAGCCACCTGCAGGGGAGGGAGGACCCTGCTCATGCCCAGACCCCGCTGCCCACTGGGGCCTGATCAGATGCAAGGATGGAAACTTTGTCCGTCCAGGTGCATGGGGTTCACTGGGTACCTCCCTCTGCTGCCAAGACCTGGTTTCCCATACGTGGTGGTGGCACTGCGGCCAGGGCCGCGTCTCACACCGTTCCCACCCTGCCAGAGCCTGAAGGGCTCTGGGTGCTGACTGCCAACTTCACCCCTGCTTCCTGTACCCCCTCCTCTGGCCCACAGAGCAAGATCCCCAGGAGGCCTCACAGCCCCTCTGTGTCCACCTCACACATCTTCTGACCCAACGCTGTGACCATAGCCCCATGGTTGTAGGACAAGCAAGATGGGAACTCTGGGGCGTGAGCAGCTGCCACATGCCCTGAGGCTGGTCCCTGGGTGCAGTCTGCACAGCCCCACGCCCTGCACCACAGGGATCATGATGCTGGAGCCACATGTCACCCCCGGTGGGAGACGCCAGGACCCACCTACCTGTAAGGATGCTGCTTCCCCGCAGGTGTAAGGAGGCCGTCCTCAGCAAGTGCCAGACCTCGGGGCTGGAGAGGTTGGTCAGTCTCTTCAAGTCCGGTCCAGAAAAGTGTAAAACCTCCTTTACTGATTTCAGTTTGGCTGAAATGACACAGATAAACTACAGGAAACTGTCAGACTGTAATAACGCAGGGCGACACAGCAACAAAGATGCTTTGTAAGAGCACTGTGAGACCACCGTGCTTCCAATTCTGGGGACCAGGTGGGTAGAGACCAGATCCCCTGCTCCCTGGAAACCCTGGACAGAGTGTGGCCGACACACGGGCAAGGGGAAAGGGCCGCTGGGCACTGCGCCCTGAGTCTTGGCACTCGGGCAGACACCAGCCTCATGTGAGGAGCAGAAGCCAGAAGATGGGCTCGGGCAGGTCCCAGGTGCTAAGAAGAAACGACAGGCACCCAGTTCCATGCCAGCTGGAGACAGTGCTCCAGAAAGGGGCAGCAAAAAACCAACACCGAGGTTTCCAGCACTCGCCCGCCAGGCCTGGAGCCGGGCTGAGCCACGGGCAAGGACACGTGCCCTGGGGAGTGGAGCGCTGGGAGGCAAGCAGAGTCCAAGTCCAAACACTGGCTGTGCAGGGCAGTCAGGGCAGGGGGCAGAGCACATGCGAATCAGAACGGTGGCGGCATCAGTTACAGAGGTGCAGAGCCCCAGGATCTGCCATGTGGGGAGGAGGGCAAAGTTCATTTTGAACTCAGATAAGTGCATCACTTTCTACTTTCAAATTCGGAGGAAGACGACAAATGCTGCAGACTGATCAGCCCATCAGGGAAGTGCGAGGAAGCGCACACGAGAGGGAGCAGTGGTGGGTGAAGGGCCCCGCCCGGCCACGGAGACTTACACCCGCTACATCAGAACCCCCCTCAACATGGGTGCGCTGAACGCTGCAGTGAAAAGACCACCATTGTCAGGCTGGAAAACAGTAACCACTGGTGGGATCTTCAGAAAAGCCACACAGAAAACACAAGGAGATGGAGAGGTGGGGATGAAGAAAGCGCCCCTGGGTTTCACCAGATCCAGCGGAGAGGGCTTCCCGTGGACAGGCTGCTCCAGAGGGCTCTGTGGGCCCTGAGGATTCGCCAGGATCGGGGCTCTGGTGGGGCGGCTCCCCTGATAAGTCTCACGGCCCCAGCCCCTTTCACAGTTTCGAAGTCTGCAGGGACTTCTGGAAACATTGGTTTTTGGATAAGAGACACAGGTGAGAAAGGAACTCCCTGGCTGAGCCCATTCCCCTTCTCTGTCCCTGGTCTGCAAGCGTCGTGTCTGCAGCTGTGGCAGCAGCCGTGATCACAAGGCCACCAACAGGAGGATAAAAACCAACAGCCAAGGATGGAAGGGCAGGACAGTGAGGCCCTGCCCAGTCACCAGGTTGCTGCAGCAGCCCCACGAGCACTCCCGCTTCTCGCCACAGACGGTGTGCTGAGGTTCACGTAGCTGAGGCCCTGGGAGATGGGGGAGGATGGAAGATGGAAGGAGGGTCCCCAGACGACAGCTGGGCTGCAGGCATGGAGAGCAGGGGCAGGGGCTGCACGTGGGGCCTAAGCTTTGAGCATTTGCTAACTCCGCGGAAAAAAGATGCCGTAAGAAAGAAAATGATCCCCCACACCCCACATTGTTGAACCACACCAGGTATGCACCAGTCACAACCCCAACAGCTGATGTCACCCAAACTAGGTTCTAACTATGGGCAGGGAGCTGGGGGAAGAGGAAGTTGGGGTACATAGGTGTAGGCACACTCAGTCCTCACCGCCCCCAATAGGAAGTCCATGGATAATCAATAACACTGACAAATCAAACTTTACAACGTAAACACATTTAGGAGCCCAGATGTAAATATTTTTTAAAAAAATAACTAAAAAACGGCTGGGCGCAGTGGCTCATGCTTGTAATCCCAACACTTTGGGAGGCTGACGTGGGCGTATCACAAGGTCAGGAGATAGCGACCATCCTGGCTAACACGGTGAAACCCCGTCTCTATTAAAAATACAAAAAATTAGCCGGGCACGGTGGTGGGCACCTGTAGTCCCAGCTACTCGGGAGGCTGAGGCAGGAGAATGGCGTGAACCCGGGAGGTGGAGCTTGCAGTGAGCCAAGATCACGCCACCGCACTCCAGCCTGGGCAACAGAGCAAGACTCCGTCTCAAAACAAAACAAAACAAAACAAAAAACAAAACACTAAAAGACTTTATGTGGCTCCATTTTACCTTTCAGACAATATGCACGTATTACTTTGATAAAAATAAAAGTAACTGAAAGAAATCCATGCAGTTAAGAACACACACACACACACCTGAAAACCCCACAGTACCTCCTACCCTCGGTGTAATAATCAGGGTAGGCAAAGGGAGGAAGGCTTAGTCAGCCAGCATGTTGTTAACCTGCCTTATGTAAAGTGCACAGACCCACCCACACCCCTTATGTAAATAGAAATAAATGTACCTTTCTTAATTGCAGCAATAATTCTGGGATTCAGGTCCAGTAGATCTAAATCCATTCTGTCGGTGGGCTGCCCACCAGGATGAATAACTTCCCAGGAAAGACAGAACTATGGATGCAAATTCTGAAGCACTTGCCTTCAATTCAAAGCCTGTCAAAGGCACGCACCACGGAAGTGACAGCAGCCACCGTGTCCGTGTCATCCGGGCTCTGTCACTGAGGGTGGAAGAGACTTCACTGTACAGGGAAAGCTGTCTAGCTCTATCTAGGGCAACATGTCTGTAATTTACCTCTAAGAATTAGAATTATTTAGCAGCTTAGAACCCATTCCAGACACTGATGCATTTGAAAAATCCCCCAAACCCACCACATTCACTCCCTGTGGAAAGTGCTAGAAATAAGACCATCCTCCTGCGGCAGGTGAGTGCCCCGCCCGACTCACCTCTCTGGGGCTCGGGGATGACCCACGCGTTCCTGGCTGACTTGACTGAGGCATCTCTTGCACTCTGCAGTTTAATTTCCTTTAAGTGTCTCCCTGGGGACTCTGGAAAGAGTGGGAAGGTGGGTCTGGGATTGGCAGAGTGCTCAGGGATTCCGAACATCGGTGGCCTCCAGCTGTCTCAGCAGCCAACAGCAGAAGACAGCTTCCTTCCAGGATGACCACTGTGGACCCCACCCAGCCTCTCCCAGGAAGGGAGCTGGCAGCCCTTCCACAGCCCGAGTCCGGCCCAGAGAGGGAGAAGCTCAGCTCTTCTCCCCTCCGGCCTCGGCGGGCTGCTCAGGGACTCAGCCCAGGATCACATAAGGCCTTTCCAACAGGCCACTCTACATCCTCTGTCGGCTTCCCAAATGGGGAGACCAAGAGTGTCCAGGGCACCAGGAAACCAGAAGGCAGCAGTCTCGAGGGCCATGTCCTGCAGTGAGGCCCGGTGCCCTTGGCAGTAACCCAGCAAAGGAAAGGGCAGGCCACGGACTTGGAGAAGGCTTTCCCTTGGACCACACAGAATGTGGCACTGGCCTGGATGCAATTACGCTGGTCACTCCATGCCCATGCTCAGCCTGCTCAGGGCCAGGCATGGAAAACAGACTGCAGGAGCCGCAGGCTGAGGCACGCCCCCAGGCACCCCGTGCTCCAGGATTCGTTTCCTGCCCGCGCACCAGGCTCCCGGGGCCCCACAGCCTGTGGATTTTCTGAGCAAGGGACAGGAACTGGCGAGAAGCCACCCTGGAGGGCCGGGTGCAGGCCAAGGCAGGGCGGTGGGGCGCTGAAACCAGCTCCAAACTGCTGGCTGGCCAGAGTGAGGAAGTGAAGTTCCCCAGCATAGAAGGCAAATCAAAAAGGAATGCCACCTCCAGGGAAGGCACTACACTGCCAAAGGAGATGTGGCCTCGCCTGGCTCTGTGAGTTACTGACCTTGATTGCTGGGATGCAAAAATACAAATCAACTTGAAGGTTGGGCAGATGCTTTGAGACAAGCTATATCCTGCTGGCCTGGGAGCTGGTCCTTGGTCCCAGCCTCTCAGAGAGCTCCCGCTCTCACACTCTCCACTGCTATTAAGGCACACTGCGAACTCTAACCAGATCTCACTTTCCAGGGGCCTGCTCCATCCCCGGAGCAACGACTTTGGCCATTCTGGCACTAGCCTCCCTGCGACAAATGCACCCCATCCATGGAGGCCCTGCTTCCCCGCCAGGCGTCTTCACCTCCTCCCCTCTCTTCCCCTCTGAGCACTGTGAACCCAAGAACAAATTCTCTTTGACAATAAACCGTGTGATTGGTGGAATCATACTTTGGTTCTCTCCTTACTTCCTCCACACACAAGGATCCCTGCAGCGCCAATGCCCACAGGAGAGGGCAGAGCCAGCCACACGGACCCCCACCTCACAGGCTTCAACGCGGTGGGTCACTTGAGCCCGCGAGTTCAAGACCAGCCTGGGCAACACAGTAAGACCTATTCTCTACCAAAAAAAAAAAAAAAAAAAAAAAGAGAGAAAGAAAAAGAAAAACAGCCGGGTGCCGTGGTGGTGCTTGCGGTCCCAGCTACTTGAGAGCCCGGGAGGTGGAGGCTGCACTGAGCCGTGATGGCGCCACTGCACTCCAGCCCGGGCGACACAGCGAGACTATTTCAAAAAAAACAATAAAAATTCATGACTTGTAATGAGGAATTAAAGGCAGGATGAATAAACATTTTCTTTTTTTCTTTTTCTTTTTCTTTTTTTGCTTTTTGAGAACGGGTCTCTCTCTGTAGACCAGGCTGGAGTGCAGTAATGTGGTCTCGGCTCACTGCAACCTCCGCCTCCCGGGTCCCGGTTCAAGCAATTCTCCTGTCTCAGTCTCCCAAGCAGCTGGGATTAGAGGTACGTGCCATCATGGCCAGCTAATTTTTTGTATTTTTAGTAGAGACGGGGGTTTCACCATGTTAGCCAGGCTGGTCTTGAACTCCTGACCTCGTGATTC